AATAATTAAATCAATTCAGTTCACATTCCACTTAATACTATAAAACCTGTTTCATGTAAATACATTTTCAGTACATTCAAATAATATGTAAAGTTGTGGTCAAAAGCTTACATACCATACTTTGTTGCGTTATAGACTTAATTTAAAATAGATAAAATTAATCTTTTTCCTTATCAATCTACGCACAATACGACAAAGCAAAAACAGGTTGTTAGAAATTTTTGCAAATGTATTAAAAATACAAAAAACTGAAATATCACATTTGCATAAGTATTCATACTGTTGAGGATATAAGGTTCTAAATGGTAGGCCACAGCACCATATACATGCTATAAGGCATCACAGAATACGTGCATATAGGACTCTAAGGTAGCTGTGTTGGCAAAGGGGGGGCAGATAACAGTGAGGGAAGTTAATGTCGGGGAGATTTTGCAGTTCAAACTCCCATGCCTTCCATTTCTCCAACAAACTGTCCATTTTGATGATGTCATCCCATTCTCTCTCTTTCTTCCATAAATCCTGTACAATGATCTTAGCACGGGTTGTGAAAGGGATCAGATATCCCACAGGATTGTATTGACTTGCCAGCACACGTATATATATATTCCTCATTATAGATTGATGGTAGGTGATGAATCCATTCTTGTAACTCAGCATGTCTGTGAGGCAGTTCCATTGAAGGCCAAGTGTCAGTTCTTTGGGGTCACCATTTTCTGAGAGCCACAGTTCACAGGTTTTACATTTTGCATCTGGGGGGAGATGTTGTATGATAGCTGGATTATTGCTAGCCCATTTTCAGATGTCAAACCCACCATCAGCGAGCAAAGGTCTCATTTTGTCAATCAGGGACTTGGCTTAAAGAGAGGAAGGAACACTTTGGAGACAGTTATCAACATAAAAACAATGTTGGACAGACTGAAGGGCATCCTCATTTCCATCACAATGATCTTGGACATGTTTGTGGACTGCATGGGTGGCAGAACATGGGCTGCTGGTTCTTCCAAATGGCAAAACTTGCCATTCATAAACACTGGGCTCCTGATCTAGTTGCATCCTTCTTCATATAAAACACAGTAGGGGTTTGTTGTCATTCAAAAGGTGTACCAGATGGAGCATACCATTGATATCTCCACAGATGGCTATGGCATGTTGGCTGAACCTGAGTAGAACTCCAAGGAGAGAGGGACCCAGTGTTGGGCAAGGCAGAAGACATTTATTCAGGTTCTGTCCCATGTATTAAAAGGAGCAGTCAAATACAATCTTGTGTTCAACAATGTGATGTGGGAAATACCAGATTTCCTGTGGTTGGTCTTCCTTCTCCCTGGGGATCCTCTGGACATAGCACAAGCTTATTCAGTTCATCTTTATATTTATCAGACAAATCAGGGTCCTTGGACAGGTGTCTTTCTGTAGCACAGAGACGGGGCAGGACAGCTTCCTTAGGAGCTTTAAGAACAGAAATGTTGGGAGCTCTTAGCAGTGGAGTGGCACACCGCATTTCACCATCTATTTCTACTCTGACTGTCTTGGAATGGAGTAGATCAAGGGCTAACTTTTCTTGTTTTGACCTCATGACTGTCTCACATAGGGCAGAGCGTCAATCGTCAATCAATTTCCACATTCCTCAACATTTCACTTTTAAAGCAGGTAAGAGCAAATGAGAAGGTGTGCTGGGTTTGGATTAAGCTGGCTGGCCCTTGGAGAGCCCATCTTAACCTGGTATGTACTGCTAATGGGCCACTAGGGGGTCCCTTGAGTACTGGCTCCGTGGCTGTAATCAGATGGGCATAGTCTGAGCCGATGAGGACCAGAGGGCACACATGATCGATAGGCTGTAATGGAATACCTCTGATGGTGGATGGTAGATGTTGATACTGCTCTTGCAGCTGCTTCACAGGGTATGTGTGCTCTGACAATCCAAGATTCTCTGCAGTAAATGCTCCATTGATGACATGTCTCTTAGTTGGCTGGTCAATGGGGGAGATTTCAAGGGATACAGACGCTCAATTCACCTGCACTATATTTTGTCTCACAGTGCATAGTGAGATGGTTTCAGATTGCATTGTGAGGCCCAAACACTGGACAGCTTGGGGAAGCAGGATAGATCTGTCTGCACCATCATCAAGAACTGAATATATTATTATTAATTATAATATTATTACTTTCATTAATGTTGTTGTAAGCTACTGCCATTACCGTCTATCCTGCATCTCTCTCTGTCTCTGTCTCTCTCTCTCTCTTTCTCTCTCTCTCTCTCTCTCTGTCATACAGTTTACTGTTAATTTATTATGTTGATCTGTTCTGTACGACATCTATTGCTCGTCTGTCCGTCCTGGAAGAGGGATCCCTCCTCAGTTGCTCTTCCTGAGGTTTCTACAGTTTTTTTCCCCCGTTAAAGGTTTTTTTTTGGGGGAGATTTTCCTTATCCGCTGTGAGGGTCCTAAGGACAGAGGGATGTCGTATGCTGTAAAGCCCTGAGAGGCAAATTGTGATTTGTGATATTGGGCTTTATGAATAAAATTGATTGATTGATTGATTGATTGAACTGCAGAAGTTGTGAGGTCCTGTCTCCATTGTGGAGGGATACACTGAAAACTGTCAGCATGACTTCATTGGAGCGGTTGAGTTTGTCTATGTAAAGGAGCTCTGAGGGAGAAGATGTTAACATCACTGTGGCAGATTTGTTGACATTGACATCATGGAGAACAGTGAGATGAATTTCCTTACAGATGTTACATGGCCTCCTTAAGGTGCATTAGTCCATTTTGTGTATTCTCCCACATTTACTACATCTCTCCTTCTCTTTGATCCATTTCACAATGTCATTTTTAAAGGTTTTTGAATTCTGTACGTGAACCAAGGAAATGGTTTCTGATATCACAGTAGGGACAGTAAGGCTTAGGCTTATTAGCATTTACCTTTTCTTTGGTGTAGGCTTGTGTTGTGCCATCCATCTCAGATGTTGTCGACAAGTAGACTGAGGAGACTTGCCTGGAGGGCTTGCGTTCCTTTCCAGTTGGTGGTCTTTCCCATTTGTGGAGCTCAACCGCTGTCTCCGATATACGTTTGGCTCTTGACTTTGACTGTAGCCAGGTTGAAAGGTCAAGGAGGGAGTACGTCTGGTTTGCTTGCTCAGTCAGAATGCTACGATTGATACAGTGCTCAACAAATCAATCTCTGTGCGGCACAGGGAGTTTACTGAGGAGTCTGTCAACATGAGAGCCACATTTTAATTCAGACCCATCAGGGCCCTCTAGGGACAGCAACATTCCCACAAACGCAAGGACAGAAAGGGAGAAATCATCAAAGGCCTCTACATCACCTAAGTGAACAATGGGAGAATTCAATACTGCTCCAATTTTACTATGAACTAGCAGCGTTGGCTGACCATACTTCTCTTGTAGTGCTTCGAGGGTGAAGGAATATGGTCTTGCATCATGCATGCTGGATCTGGCTAATTTCTTAACACCTGGGTGTTCAAGATGTTCCAAAAGATGATGTGATCTGATATTTAAACTGCTCAGTAAGTTGAGCATGATTGTCAAGGATGTTATCCAAAGCCATTTTCAGGAGGGCAAAATCACTCTCTTGACCACTCTTGAACACAGGAAGTGAGGGCCTTGGTATTCCATAGGCAGAAGCTATGAACAGATCCATAACATTGGGGGTTTGGATATGTGTGTAAGCAGAATGTGGCTGCTGGAATGACATAGCTTGCATCGGTAACTGACTACTTGAGCACTAGCTATGAAGGGCAAAGTGGGCGCAGCTTGAGCAATAACTATGGAGGGCAAAGTGAATGCAGCTTGGTCAGTAGCTATGCTTTGCTGACTTGGTTGAGGCTTGGGAAAAAATTTGTCTCTTAGCTCCCCTTTTGGGAGGCCAAGTTTGGAAAATGAGGAACTCAAAGCTGAATGAGAGTCAGAGTCAGCATACCCCAAATTAGTGTGGGCAAGAGTGAACACCCTGGAATGAGGCAGGTCATTGGAGGATGAGGTGGCTACATTATCAGGAAGAGATATGAGAGTAAAAGTGGAAGCTCCTTTGAGGTGATCATCTTCAGCATCTTTGGAGAGGTTCTGTCAAATAAAAGTAGGAACAAGCTGGGCTGACTCGAGCTGTTGTTCTTTAATACGAACGCGTCGTTTCATGTTAACCTCTCTGACAACTCTGTCTCTGTCCTTGTGTGCGTCTTCTTGCATATGCTGGGCAGCTCTGGCCTTCTCATCAATAAATTTACATTGTTCATCAAGTTCATTCTCCTCCTTTCTTTGTCTTTTAAGTTCCTCCTGTTCATCTCTTATTCTCTTTTCCTCAAGAATGCTGGTTTGGAGATCACTCAAATTAGAGGCATGGCTGCTCCTGGAATGCCTACTAAGTTGCGATCTTGTTGGAAGACTAGAGACTGACTTGGTGCTTTAAGTCTTCTTGCTGTGGTAACTCAATGAGCCATGGGACTGTGTGGACAGCCTCTGCTGTGGCGGAGTCCCATAGTAGTCAGGGGGCTGTACATTCCTTTTAGGTCTCCTCCCTAGATCATGGCTAATTGGCTTTGTGAGGGTTTTAGCTGATAGTTCACAAGGTACTGATGGCAAAGGGATTTGGAGCTCTCTGTGAGAAGGCAATAGCTTGTTGTCATAGAGGTATAAAGAAAACAGAAAACATTCACATTTAAGAAGCTGGAATCAGAGAATTTTCACTTTTTTTCTTAAAAAACACATTAGTTATGAAATTAGTTGGCAATTAATTTAATAGTTGACAAATAATCGATTAATCATTACAGCTCTAATATGAATACAGGTGTGCCTTGAGATTTTGGCTGCCTTTGGTGTGCCTTGGTCACAAAGAGTTTGATAACCACTGCTCTAGACAACAAGCTGCAAAGGTGTGTGTTTGGATATGAAGGTAAAGAAAAAAAAAAAAGTCTCCATGCAGATCTCCAACGCTTGTCACCGACTGGTTGGTGTCATGCTACTTTCTCAACATCATGATCAACATACCTGCTGCACTGGGGGTTGCTTCTGTGGCTTCTGAGGTCGGTGTCCTGGCACAATCATCGTCATTATCTGCACATAACATAGGGCAGACATCATCACTCAATTTGATTGGAATAACGTTAGTCTTTCTTGATGAGAGTCTGTAATATTGGGTAGACATTAACATACGTCAATAACCTATATATTTGAGAGCAAAGGTGTGTGTAACATTAAAATTCACCCGCTTGTTTGAATAGGGTACCACAGTGCAACGTTACATTACATATTTCTACATACTTGATTGCTTATCTAGCCAGTTATCAGTTAATGTTACAGTAATACAGTAAACAGCGCAACATTACGTTAACCTAGTTAATAATGAAACTATTTTTATTGAGGTGACTGGTAATTTTTAGTAAGCTGTAGGTGGGTCAAACATACCAGGCTGGTTGTCTGGCATTACTCCAGTCCAACTGTCCTCGCTGTTGGTGGGCTCCATGGTAACGATGTCCTCAGATTTAACCCGTCCCCCAGACCAGGGCTATATGTGGGTCTATTGCGGAGCAGTGCATCGATGTCTTCGAAAAAGGGACAAGTTGCCCTGCCCCTACCACTCCTTTTGTTAGTATTGTTTGCCTTCGTGTCACAACTTTGAGGTGTTTCATTTTTCGCTGACACTGGAGCCAGGACTGATTGTAGCCGTTGTCCGCCATTATCTTTGCCATATCTTCATAGATGGCACGGTTGCAGTGCAAAGTGTCCAGAGTCACTGGCACTTGATGGTGCTCCTGTGGAGAGTGCAGACAGATGCCCACAGAGGAAGAGAGTAGGTGCTGTGCCGAATGGGACCTCATAGTCACAGCGGAGATGGCAAATCTGAATGTCTCCGATGACAAGACTGATGTGTCGCCGGCCTGTATAACGGATAACGATGCAATGTTCGCCAGCTGATAAATAGACCTGTTCTGGAGACTTTTTTTTACTTCCCTAAAATTAACTGGAAAAAGCGTCCCACACACGAGGGATTGAATGGGCAGCTGTCGAAGAGGTAGGCTATGTAACCTTTTTGCTCTTTGATGTAATGAATTTCAATTTCAGAAGTCCCTCCAGTCATAGAATATGTTTGGGCTAAATACACATAGGCTACATAGGCTAGGCTATAGCAGCAGCCCCTTGAAACAAACATTCTGTTATTCCCTGCTGATGCAAAATCTACGCAATATCCATGTTACTTTCAGACAATACTGACTGGTGGCATATAGAGTGATTCTGGAGTGGGCCCTCAAGTGCCAACAACTTGGACGTGGAAATCGAGTTGCACTGCCTAGTTGTGTGGTGTGGACCATCAGAGACGCATTCCTATCCCCCACTGGACAATATGCAGGATTCACAGCGAGGGAGATAGAGGATTTATTCTGACCTCTGAACTGAACAACACAGTTCATTTCAACAAAAGCTTTTATTTCTTATCTTTTCAGGGGGGGGGGGTTTGCAAATAAAATGCACATCACACTAAAACTATTTTCACACTGTATAAAAGGTAAAAAATAAAGTGAGAAGTGATTGAAAGAGTTTGTAATTGTATGATGCCTTTGAACACAATGCCAGCTTTCTTCTGCTTCTTTTCTGTGTCCCATTACATTGCAATGGTTTCCTGCTGGTTGGTGACACTCACAGCATTATCGCTGTCAAGTGGGCTGGAGTGTATAACGCTTCAGGGTCAAACGAATGAAGTTTACACACCGGCGTGAGGCAGCTTGAAAAAATAGTTCCACAATCAAGATGAATAGCGAAAACACGCACCAGTCATCTCAAGGATAGTTTTTATCCACAGGCCATCAGACTGCTTAACAGTAGCACTTTAGTGCTATGTGTGCACGTGATTATTCCTCTGGATGTTTACTGAATGTTTTTTAGACTATTTTATGGACTATTTACTGACTTATTATTTTTATTGTGATATGAGGTTTGAGAAGGGGTCTGGCAAAATGCATTTCATTGCATTGACTGTACACTGTACTACAATAAACTAAACTAAACTAAAACACTGATGAAAACCACAGTTTGCTACGATTTTTATGTCAGAACATCAAGGAACGCTACTGACCAGTCGGTGTGTTTCATGGCTTTGAAAACGAACATTTAGGGTGGTTTTAGGACACATATACACATGGCCATAGACATGTGGAAATCTGCCTGTTAAGCTAGGCAGGGGAAAGCCAAATTCTCCGAAAAGGAACAATCGTTAAAATTTTGGTCTTAACCACTCTATTTCATCATAAACAACCCAGAAATGGGACTTAAAGTGCAAAAATACCAGACTTCTCCTTTAAGGATCCTTCCTTAAATGTGAGATCTTTATGAGCGTCCCTCCGGTGCAAAACTAGCCAAACAGGGTGGATATATTCCAAAATCAGAGTGGACACAGAACACACAGTTATGCTTATTAAACATGTCAAACTCTGACATGTCTGCACTTGTAATCCCATGTCCGCATGGACCATGGACATATGATGAGATTTATGTCACACAGACCCTTAAGGCAAGGGTTTGATATAGGTCTGATGATGACACATGCCACGTGCTCTCCACTGTAGCTGTTTGAGCTAACATTAGTTTCACATACTGACAAGATGAGCAGGTCCACAGCTCAGAATCTCACAGCTTTCAAAGGTGATGAACTGAAACAATATCATCATGTGCTTTGTGTCATGTGCAGTTTATTTACATGTAATTGTTGTCTGACCTACACGTTTTTGTTTATGTTGCACCCCTAATTGTTCCACATTCAATCAAAGAGGAAGAAGCCAGGGTGGAGCAGCATTAAGAGCAGCCAGACAGTAGTAGTCTGTAACTGTCATTCAAAAAGGGAAACTAGATGACCATCTTGATACTACTTAGCCAGTTAGCACATTAACAACATAATCCAATGTTGAAAGAACAGAGCATATTTACTGTACACCAGTGAACAATAACATAAACCATCAGGAAAATTTTCTGCTAAAGAGCTCTATGACTTAAGAAAAATAATCTGACCTTAAGTTTCTTTTGGTCTCACTCACTCTGGACTGGAAACTTTTTTTTTTTTTTTTTTTAAATTTTGGGGTCCACACTCACATTTGAACGACAGGTAGATTAAAATAAACCACATCAATATTAGATAAAATAATGTAATTTCAGGGTATTTTCCATAATTGTAGATCTTTTTTGAGTAAGAGAACCTTCTGAAGAACAGGACAAACTCCAGGGACATGAGGTGTGAATCTGAGCGGGAATGGTTGGCTAAGCCCTGTGATAAACACCACACGATTCAATTCGATTAAGATACAGAGGGTAAGGGCGTCGGTGGCTAAATGGTAGAGCAGGCACCCCATGTACAAGGCTGTTGCCGCAGCGGCCCGGGTTCAACTCCAGCCTGTGGCCCTTTGCTGCATGTCACTCCCTCTCCCTCTCTCCCTTTCATGCTTGTCTGTCCTATCGATTAAAGGCTAAAATGCCCCAAAAAATATCTTAAAAAAAACAACAACAACAAAAAAAAAAACGGTTCGATAATAAAACAATTATCGATGCATCACACTGTATCAAATTGTTTGGTTTCAAGACATGATTTATTTTTCTCATTCTTTTAAAATATAGCATTCTGTATTTTTGGTGATCCGTAATTGAATAAACAGATTATTTTACTTGCATTCAGTGTGGCTCTTGTCCATGTCCCTTTCCCCTTCAACCTACCTCCATACCCCCACTTTTAAACCAGGGGTGCCAGTCAGATTGTATCCATCTGCGGATGCTCATGCTTGCTCATTGTGGGATAGACATATATATGGGATATACACACGCTTGCGTAGGGTTCAGTGCTTGCGTAGCCTACTGTAATATTTCCCCTGAAACAGTATTTGCATTTCACGTTCTATTCAATAATATATAGTCCGCATCCTTTTAATTTTGAAAAAGTTAACTGCATTGATGAATGAATGAATGAATTAATGAATGAGTGAATGAATTTGAAAGCATCTTACAGTCTCCTGTGTGTATAAGAATAAAATGAGAGTGCTCCGTCACAGCCGCTGTGTTGTTATTTACGTTATGCCAGCAGAGGAACTGCGAGTAGCCTCTCTCTCCATTTGTGCCCGTGAAAGCCAAGACACTGGGCAGGCCAGGCATGGGGTTTTTGAGGTAAAACAGACTGAGCAGAGAGTTATTTTCTTCCCCACAGAGGTGTTTTAATTGAGTTCATGCTGCAGTGTGTGTTGGTCAGCCGGTTTACATGCTGATCCCTGCTTCTCTCATAAATGTTTGTTTCTGGGTGATGGCGTTACTAAGTATTCACAATATACTTCATGTGCCCCTCGCAAATGTAATTATTTAGACATTAAAGCCCAACTTGCAGGTTGGAGACCATGGTGAATAAATGTGTAGGAAAATGATGTAGAAACTCGATCAAAACAAAAAACAAAAACATATACACACCACAGTGACTTTTGGGGTCGTTTTTGTGAGAGAATTTTGCTTCCGCATCTAAAAACCCACTAACCGAAAGTGACGTAGCGTAAGGCAGTCCGGCTGAGTTCGATTGAGTGTAACATTAATAAACATGGATCCCAGTACTAGTTTTGAGACTGAAGAGGTTGAAAATGTACATTCATATGCATATGACGGCCCACAGGCTTATAATTATGAGCCTGCTAGGCGTCCAAGAGACCAGGAACAGATCAGGGTTAGGAGAAATAACGGCCACAGGAGAGAAATAGAGCTGTGGTGTGAGGAGAACCAGTGGAGAACTGGGCAGGTGTCTTGGTGAGCGACCAGCGTTAGCTAACGACAGCTAACAATGTCTAATGCTGTGTTCACATCACAACATTAAGTTTGCCATCGCGTATTAGGTTATAACAAAGCTACCAATACTTCTGCCAGTATTAGATAACTAATGCTACTTACCCATAACAGAAACTAATGCACAAATATCAGCTTTTATCAGACGTATCTTCCTATGCGTGTTATAACTCCGCATTACGGTGTATTGATGTCCGCAGGGGAGAGAGAGAGAGAGAGAGAGACAGAGAGAAATACGGAGATTTCCTGATAATTTTTTGTATGATAGGTTCTTGTGTGGGAACTGCCAGCCCATGGTCTCAGCTGTGGAGAGTATGTGCTGCAGGGAGGTGGATGCCTTCTGAGCTCTGGTGGAGAATCTGACCCCCAAACCAGACATAACATGCCTCACACTGCCCATCAACCCTCACGCCGCCCGCTCCCGTCTCAAACACGGAGGCCTCCCTCTCCGCGGAGCCCGCCCTCGACCCGAGGTTCGCAGCCCAGCACATACCCCCAGTGTGTGATGTCACACATTGGGGGTATGATTGGGGGTATGATTATGTTCCTGGCGGACATCCGCCAGGAACATAATCCTCCTGTCCAAAATGAGCGCTGCACACGACCACGTTTTTGGTCACAGATGAAGCCGTGAAATCGCGCCTCTTCACCTGCACAAAACGCACCCAGGCACAAAAACTAACTCCACTCCTTTTCCTGTCCGGAAAATGGTGGACTCAATGTGCAACCTGCACAAACACAATAATTCGGCATAATCACAAATGGTGAAATGCACTGTTAACAACCAAAAAATACTAACTCACAAGTTTACTACCGCTCAAACTCACTACTACCTACTACTGCACATTGGACAGAGGCAGGGTCAAGGACGCACAGTCCCTCTCGTGACGTAGTATCAGGCGCTGTTGAAAAAAAAAAGCGTTTTTAGAAGAGGAGCTGAAAACAGCCACTTTTTCCTCTGAATTTGTGCCCTTTTGTCATTTAAACCATAATAAATTCTGAATTAACTTCTCATATGGTAATTTTCAGACAAGGTTATAAATATATTTAAAAAAAAAAAACAAACCTGCAAGTTGCACTTTAAATTAAAACAAGCTTGCAACCGCTGTCTTTTGTGAAGATGAATTAGTACAAGTTAACTTCAGCTCATCTGCGCTGTAGACAGCCAGGGTGCTTAACTGACTTTGCAGTTGAGTTCCACCTATTTTCTTACGTCAGTATCATGTTATGAACAAACATTTACATAACTGATTATTGACATTTGTGAATCGATGCCAAATCGTCCATGTCAGCATTGCCATGCATCTAAAAATCGTTTCCCCCCCTCACCCCTACAACGGATACCCCTAACAGGATAAGTGGTTATGGAGAATGAATGAATGAATGAATGAATGGTGTCATCACAGAGATAAACCTCTCAGCCTGTCTTCAGTTGCTTGAG